ACTAAAAAAACCAACAACAAGAACATTTATGTTTTCTTATTATGAAATATACTGTAATATTTGTGTAATGATCTTGATGATTTAAAAATGACATCATGAATTTTTATTGTGCTTAGTAATTGTTCAAAAATTATGTGACAAAAATTTTTTTTTGAATGTTATTTGTTTGCTTCTAACATTCCTTTTTTTTCTTGTATCTACTCTTATGGCAACTATTGATAATAATAGAAAACCATGACGAGTTTCACTTCATTGAGTCACAATCAATTATTAGATGACTTGGCTGTTTTTTTTTCTATGCAAATATTCTGGGAACTGTGCTCTTTCAACTGAGAAATGTTGAAACTAGGGGTGTCGATTTATATTTACTTATCATTTAATTTACGCGTGAATTAAATGATAAGTAAATATAAATTGACACCCCTGTCATATACAGATTACAAAAAGGTTTCTTGTTTCGGCGAATTGTTTCTCGCGACATATCTATATGTGGAATATTTTACGATGACACGAGTAATGTTGAATATATGATTGTACGTATCGCAGGCATTTTAAGTGCTTGAGATCACACCACACCGTGCAACATTTTCTATTATCTTTTTGGTGATTCAAATGATTATATTTTCTCTTGTTTAATAAAACCAATGAATATATAATAAAAATAGCTCAAAATCCTGAATAAAAAATCGGCCATCAATAGATATGATCAATAAATAACAACAAAAGCCTTAACATCTTAAAAAAATTTACAGAAAAAAAAATGTAAAAAAAAAAGGCTACAGATATTATAAATTCTTTATTTCTTTTGTTTTTTTGATGTTGATACAATATTGTTGGAATTTTCTGCGTCCGCACGTCGTTTTGATGTTGTGTTAATTGATAATTCTGTTGGTAATGAAGTAGATGGACTATTTGGCATATCTAATCCATTTGGATTTTGAGCTGATGATAAAAGTAATGCTCGTGAATCAGATGGTGGAAGTGTTGCAGCAATTGCTGATAACATTCTATAATTTTGTTTTTCTTGTTCTTCTTTTTGTAAGTTTTCTAACATCGAACAGCTTGAAGCCTTATAATGTCGATAAAAATTAGATAATTGGAATTTTCCTCGAAATTTATATAAGTTAATTTTTTCTCCACATTTGCATGTAATAAAAATTTTTCCATCATCAGTGAAGTTTAAAGTAAAATGTTCGGTTTCTTGAAGTTGAAAATCACGTAATTTTAAAATAGCCTTATTATCACCACACCATCGTTTGATAGATCGTAATATGAATGCTTTAATATCATCTGGTTCTTCAATAGCAATTTCTTGTGTAGTTCTTGATAATTTTGTT